TTATGTATCCCAGCTTTGACCACAAAACCCACAACAGAAACTACGGGTCGCTGAGGCAATACCACAAGTCCTGGGATGTGTAGTTGAATATTATTTACCCTTGGAGACTGAGGGAGGTGGTAGAAGTAGGAACTTGCAAAAGCAAGGTCACAGGGGTACTGAAAGAACTCAGGTGAGCCAGGAGACAGATTAAACACAACTGCAATACCAACCTCCTCCTTACATGCCATTTTTCTTTCCCTGGGACAACAGGCACTGAAGAAGCCCCCTAACAGTCACACACTTACCAACAGAGAATCAGGCTTTTACTACGAATGTTTCCTCTTTGTGAGCACAAGGCACGACACACATACTACTATATGCAGCAACACTTGAGAAATCATCATTTTACACCATTCACAGCTACAACCTAATCTATTTTGTGCTATGTGACAGACACAGGCAGTGCTAACCAACAGCATTGTTTCCATAGTTGTCATAGGGAGTAACGACTGTAGTTCCAAAATCCCAGACTACAAAGTAAAGATTGCATCTACTCTGCAATTCTCAGAAACACGTGTGGCATAACACAGAAATATCCAAGAAGTAAGCTCACCCCAGCAGCATGAAACTCAACTGACTTTGGTGGGAAATAACTGCAGTATATGCATATCCAAACACCGGAGGGTCTGTGTGGAGTGTATGTATTTCTGTTCACAACACACAGATCCATCTCATCCAAGATACACACAGTGGGAATTGTGGTAGGAGGAGACACTTGCAAACTTCATTGATGCTAAAAAACCTTCATCTCCAGGTAGTGTCCCACAGGCTGTATCTTGTAAGCACCACAATACTTCAGATCACATGTGCTTACTTGTTCAGTAGCCTGATACAGATTATTGCTATTCTTCATTTCTCCCCCAAATATCCCGGAATGCACGCTGTTTTACAGGTGATTGCTTAGACAGCACACTGCAGAAAGGCTACAGAGCAAACTCTACTGTAAGCTTGCACCAGCCAGATGGGTTCTCGCCTTACCAAGCGGTATGCAAAACTGGGAAGCAAACCATAAGCATCTATGTCTCTGATAAGCACCTGTAATAATACAGATGCGTTCCAGTGAAAACAAGGCTACGTGCAGGGTCTCTGTTAAACACAACAGTGTCTACTGTCTCTGCTAAGAGTAAATTACTCAGATCACACACTTCCCACCACAGTCTCTTTTGAGAAACACCCACGTACAGTATTGCTTTGAATTGTTTTCTCCTTTTCCAGATCAGCAGCTAGAAACTCACCCATTTTCCATGGTTTCAAAGTTTTCTTTTTCTGCAAAGAGAAGGCATTACCACCTATTCTTTAAACTAATTAACTATCCCTTTTAGCTATAATTTCTCTTCATATAAAACATTTGTAAAAGGTCTGTTTTTCCCCATGCCCTCTTTTCTCTCTTCTGGCTCTTCATTATGACCATGGCTAATTGTGATGAGCTGTCCACCATTTACTCCACAGGATTGTATAGAGCTTTGTAATGTGCCTGCCACTGATGTATTTACAATTGGAAGCAGTTAACTCTTTAGTCCTGCTTCCTTGTTCAAAACAATGAACTGCATGAGGAACTAGCGCTTAGCCCCAATTAAAGATTTTTAAAAGTCTCCATTTTAAGCCTGAGTACTCCAAATTGAGCATTTGTCAAAGGCCCAGTCACAGCTCCAAATGGAGAGAGGGAAATCCTACTGAGGAGAAGAATAGGACTATCCCATCAGTTAGGGTGAAAGTTCTTCCCAATCAGCCTCTTAAACACGTAATAGTATGGGATCCATTAGGTCTGCCTTGTCCACACAAACCTGCTGATCTCTTCAGTGTTGCCATCAGACAATGAATTTGCTGATATTCATAATTTCAACGTTTTTTTTCCTGAAGAGAATCTAACTATCTAACTTTTAACTGTTAAAATGGAGGGGGGGATATTTTTTTTTTTTTTTTGGTAAGGATATGAATATGAAAGCAGCTCTTCTTTCTGCATTAGGAATTCTAGCATTTTTGCATCATGAAAGTCTGTCAGAGCTGCTCTTGACATAAAACTAGCAAAATACATTAAAATATCAGGAGAAATCTCTCTTCTATGTCCCTTTCCAGCTAAGAGACCACATTCAGGAGCCATTTGCAGTTTCAAGATTATTTTCCCCAGCATGCAGTGATTTAAACTAGCTCCTTCACATTCCCATTTCAGGGTAAATTCCCTCAAAATTACATGAGGGTGCTTCTAAAGACTCTTCTATTCAACTATTTGAATATTTTTATTATTTTCCTATGAACTACATGCATCTTTAGAGTTGACATCTATGGACAGATATGAATTAATGGTTATGCCTCTTGATCAGCTTTGCACTAGACAGTGATTGAAACATGATTAATGATTCTTTTTCCTATAGAAAACAGAACGTAGCAGTTGACAAATGTGCATGGACAACTACCTTTCTGAGCAAAAATGTTCATATTTTGGTATCTTGATATTGACAATCTGTCTAAAATGGATCCACTTAAAACTTCAGTGCAGTGCTGATAAACCACTTCTTTGTATGTCTTCTCTTACACATTTTTCTTTCTGCTAAGGATCTCTACATGATGAAAGAACATAGCTTCAGAGTACACTTACAAAATGGGCAACTAATACCTGTACTAAACAAAAGCTGAAAGAATAAAAATACCCAGTTTACACTATAAAGAAAAGAAATTGTAATGAGATCTGATGTGTAGAACTGCTGAAACACTGGAACTTTATTTCTGATCTGAGTCATAACAGCTAAACTGCCCCAAAAAAAAAAAAAAAAGTTAACCATAAATATGCAATGTTTGTCTTGCATTACTTTTTGAGACTAAGATATTTAATATTTATAACAGCACTTATTTTAGAAGTACACTGCATATATTTTTATGCAAAAAGAAATACCTTACTTTCAGCTAGGTTCCTGGATTCTGGCCTTTAAGCTCTGCAGAACTGCTAAATCATGGGCGTTTAAAAGTTATGTGCCATTAAAACCTTTTTTTAAAAAAAATCAATACAGTATGATTGAACTGGGGAGAGTACTTTGTGTGCTGCATGTCCAAGATCAGACTTGCAAGTAGGTAAGAGAAACAGCCAGAAAAACAACACATGAAGTGAGCATCAGACTACACTTATTCCCACTCCTGCAACAGATCCAGCAGAGAACAGCAGCACAGTGTACCTGAAGCTTAAGTGCTTTTCAAAGTTACAAAAGGATTTCTTTTAAAAGAAAACACTATATGGGGCTCTGCTCTCCCCATTTTCTGTTCACATTTTCTCCCTCACCTATTTGTTTATTCTGTTGTAACTGCTGTCAGAAATATTAGGAACTAAGGTGACAGAATTATTCCTGCACATCAGCTTAGCCCTGCTTTCCTGGGAATTAAAACAAAACCAAAAAGCCACAATGAAGGAAAAGCTCTTCTGTCAGTACTACATTTTGTTACTCTAGCTGCTCTCACAAATGGCCGAGGGAACACAGTGGGCGGGATGACTTCCTAACGGAACGACTCAGCTACGTTTACCGCACTCACACTTCTGTTTATTCACGTGGGGAAAGTCCACGCAAAATGAGAACTTGTCTACAACCACAGACTGCAGCACTTTCTCTTCAGCAATGCCTTTCCTCTGCAGTGCCTAAAACATGCAGTAAATGCGATACCAAACGCAAGCAGAAGATCTGTTCAAGTTTCAAGACTAATCTGGAACCTTTATCTCAGACCAATTTTCTGACGAGATATATCTTTCTTTCTTCTCTAATCTCTTTCTGCAACTCTGAACACCAGTCTGCCACTTGCTCACTGAGCATAATTAGCCCTCAATTATCACAAGTTACATTTTCACCTCTCCCTTTGCAACTTCCCTGGAACTTCTTGCATGTTCAATTGAAGTGTTCAAGCCCATTTCCCCACCAGCAGTGAGTAGAGTCCCTGAGCTATAAAATTTGTTCTTGGATACTAAAGTTTTAATTAGCATTTAACATATGAGTAATCATTGTGTGTGGTTTGCACCAAATCTACTGAAAAACAAGCTCTTGCTTAGAACCTAGTTTTCTTTAAAGGTATATAAACACACAGTAAAAGCTATCAGCCTCCTCCTTGTCAGAAACTGACCCCCAGACAAGTTACAGTCCCTTCCTAAAAACTGGAAGAAAATTCAACGTGCATCTTCACAGAAAATTTCCAATATACAGCAGGTGTACCGCGCAGTGGTTCCCTCTACCCTGACTGCATAGGTGGCCAAGCCAGCAAACCTTTTGCAGCAGACAACAAATGCCTCCTTTCCTTCCTTCCTGGTCCCCCCAGTTTCTGCTCAAAGGAAATCAGCTTTTCATCCAGCACACAGGCAGGATGTGCCCCTTGTGCTCAATTATAGACACGCTTGCTACGATTTCTCAGCTGCAATGACAAGAGAAGCACATCAGCTGTTTTCCATTTTCCAGGGGAGAGCTGTATACTTTCTATATTCTTGTCTTGACAGGTAGGAGAGCACAGTTTCCTAATTTGGATCCTCAAGCTCTCTGCTTTTTCCTTCTCCTTAGCAATTTCTGTCTCTTCCTTCTTCCACCTAAGAGAAAGGGATCCTGGAAATTGTTCCAGCCTAAATTGTGTCCAATACAAAACAGCCGTGCTATTTAAGCACTTACAAAGCAAGCAAAAAACAAACCCATCATTTTCAGCCAGTGAAATGGATTTTCTTCCAGCCTGCAAGAAAGCAACATATTTCCAGTTTTTAGGTTTTGGAGGCAGTTTGCTGCACTAAACAAAAGGGGGGATTTGGGTTTGAAAATAGCCATTGTTCTTCATTTGTGGAAAAGTATCCACATCTTGAGCTACACGAGCATTTTGGACGTACAGGACACAGCACAATATTCCCTGGCAAAGCAGTACTCACAGAAAAGAGGAACAGAATGCACACTGATAGGAAATCTTCTGCATCAAATCCATTTCACAATAAAGCTTATTATTAATACCTTTATGGCTCCCTCAGTTTCCAATATGCTCCAATCGCAGTTGTGACAGCCCAAGAAAATTGAACTTTTCTTCACAATTCTCACTAATATGGCCTGCTGCTTGGTCTTATTGTTATTAGAATAATTTGCTCCCAAGTTCTGAAATGAACTCTGTGCCCAAGTAATTAAAGCTCTTAAAGTTTCTAGTCCTTTGTTTAAAGAATTCGTCCTTGTGCTCTCTATGCCCCATCAGCTACCTAATTAGCAGAGCCTTTGCGTGATTAAAAATTCTCACAGAGATTCTGCTGGATATTTGCCTCTCTTAATGAGTGTTTGTGGACAGCTGGGAGCGGGAGCTGGTTCCCTCCTCCCAGGACCTCCAATGAATTCTGCAGACCTCTGTCAGGGCCCAGGAGTGAAAGCTGTCATTTTAGTAATGTGGATGAAAATTGGTCAAAAGCACTGTGGTCCTTGAGGAATGAAAGGCCTTGAAATATAAATGAAGATGAATATTCATATTTGGTTCAATAAGTGCCAACTATTAATATACATGTCTGTCAGTAAGAAAAGTCAGAACTTATTCAATTGTGCCTGGCATAATTTGGCTCCTAATTCACAATTATCCTCCTATTCTTTGCATTACTTTTCAGTTATTTTTTTCAGTTAAAAACTTGCTGGAAAATGACAGCATTGCTATCACCACAAAAATAAGTACTTTTCTCTATCCTTCAGCTAATTTACTGCCTATTAAGAATCACCTGTGGCTTTTACACACAGGATTCTAACTATCTTGCTTTGATTTTCTATATCTTGCTCTCTCTCAATGTCAGCTTTTAAAAGAGCCCACTGTATGCCTCTGCAAGTATACCAACTTTCTTTATGGAAACTCTCATTTGATACCCTACTCCTCTGCACTTTATTTCCAACCCAACTCTAATTTCATATCTGTTGTGGTTTTGAAAGATCCTTCCATTTTTAAGGACTGTAGCAGAAGGGTGAAATATTACATAGGGTGGTTTTGTGGGGGTTTACTTTTTTTTTGTTTGTTCATTTTGCTGTTTGTTTTTCAAGTATGGTACATGTTTGGTTTTGGGAAGGATGTCTGAAGACACTGAAGAGATAACCACCCTGCTCAGTTATTAACAACAGAATACTAATTTTTTGAATGGAACACTGGGATTACAGACGAATCCTGAAAGTATTTGAACTAGACAGTCCTGCTACATGAGAGTGATCTCTTATTCAGTGACATTTGAGAAATTCGAGCTTAGTGATTTTCCCAGTCAATGTATTCCCATTTATCACTTTGTCCCAAACAGCACGTGCACTGGGACCAATATACATACTAGACACTTACTTTTTAGGAGAATAAAAAGCATTAGAGAAAACATTGCACAGTGGGATTAATACTTGTTTTACAAAGTTAAGACAGAGAAAACAAACTTTGCATGTATGAGGAGCCATATCGATCATATGCAAATGAACTGAAAAGTATTTTGGATTTCTGGACTAGAATCAAGGTGAGAAGCAGTCAGGAAAGTATGTGCTTCCTTGAACCACAATATTACAGATCATCATATTTAAAGAGAAACCTGGAGATATGACTACTATGAAACCTGCTGCATCACTGAAAGGTTACACAGAGGCCACACTGTGATTTAATTCAGCTTCACTCAGGAAATCTAACAGGACCAAATCCTGCAGAGACATGCTTTGCTAAATGACAGAGGAACATTTATTGTTTCAAATTTTACTCGGTCAGGTTCCTGCTGACTTATAATGTGAGCTTGTCTGAGAAAGGCATAGGTAGGAATCGGAGAGGCTGCAGCCTCAGTAGTTTGAGAGAAGGATGCCAAGTACCGCTCATTGTGGAATGAAACCAGCACACAAGAGAATATGGGTCCTGGGTATTTTGACACAAGTGACCAGATTCTTCTCTCATTTATACTGGTCCCGGTCCATTAGCTTCAAGGTGGTACATCTGTGAAGCCTGTAAGTTAAGCAGCTTTCTGTTCAAAGATTTTAGGTTAAACAACTTTTCTTTCAGAACATTTCTGTCTACATTTCATATGGCATTTTTTGTTTGTTGGTGTGAGATACTATTTTTCACTCTGCCTACTAGATGTAGATGTGTTTCAGCAGAGAATGGTGATCAGCTGCTTTCACTGGCAGTTTGAAAAATGGAAGTAGTAAGTTAGGACAGGTGTGGGTGCACATTAGTGAGGCAATTACGTTTGGAAATATTAATTTATCACTTGTAATAAGGTCATGGATTATAGATCTATATCCATGATACACCTATTACCTCAGAGGTTTCAATTCAAAGGATCCAAAATAAATCGGGTGTGGGGGAGGAATCTTTTTTTTTGAAAGAGTGCTGTGATTTACTTGTTTTCAGACCACCTGCCAAAATCTAACTTTTCTTGGATTGGAATTGAAAAGCCATGACTCCACTTCTGTTGCACATTATTCCAAACAGAAGCTTCAGGACAGACACGAGTCAAAAATTCAATGAGTGGACTGAAATATTATAAGGATTTTAAGCTTATGATTAAAAATTATCATAATTTCACAAAGTGTGCTTGTTCATACGTGCACAGTGGTCATAAGTCACAAACCCACATGCAGCAACATGTCATTTTACAGAAATCTGAGTTTATTGGGCTCCTGAGGATTTAATATCCATCCAGTTTATGTTAGGAGAAGGTACCATTTGCATCATTACTATTATTGGTCTTTTTTTTTTTTTCCCTAATGTACATTTTTTTTTTTTAAAGTGAGTCAGTTTAGAAACTAACAGAACAAAAATTGTTTGCAAGAGTTTTTTCCCCCGCCTCATTCTCTGTGTTTTCATGTCGCACATTACCAGAAAGTACCTTGAACATAGTAACTGCCATACCAGAGCAGACCAAAATTCAATTAATTCTCTCTCATTTACAGAAATTAGCAGCATACAGGTGCTTTAGAAGACTGTTCAATACAGTCATATGTGCAACCACCAAATAATCTACCCCTTTACTTTCACAACTTATTGTGCACCTGTGCTCACAAAAGGGGAGCAGTCCATATTAGTTTAAAAGAAAGTATTAATCCATCTGTGATAATACAAAAGTCTGTAGAGTAGGGAAAGAAGAAATTAATCAGCTAAGTAAAATGTAAGAAAGGAAAGTAGTATTTTAATTTAATGTTTGGCAAAGGCTCGGCTGAAAAGGTAGATCTGGCACCACACTCCAGGATACTAAACCATGACTTTAAAAAAATGAGCAAAAGCAAACTCCCAAGTCAGGAACCTCCCACAGAAGACAGGCTCCCCCTGTTCTTCATGATGTAGGCACTGGCTGCAAAAGCACCCCAGCACCGTACTCAACCCTGAACACACCCACCCACCCCTGAGCTTACAGGGATATATATGCTGCGAAAGGAGGAAAGGAAAGTTCAAAAGGGCCAAGTTTTATCAAGGCATTCAGTTTCACTGCAGTTCTGCATGCACTTGGATGTGGAGGGCACGACAAGATTTTAATAAAGAAAGATACTCATCTTTAAATTATTTGTGAACTAATTATCATTTATTCTGCATATTTAGAGTTGATCTGTTCATTTACCATGCTTTTAAAATAAGCTTTTTTGTTAGAGGCACAATGAAAAAAAAAGACAAGCAAAAGGAAAAAAAAGTGTTTGATTTTTTTTCTTAAAGATTTTTTTCGAAATTGTTCTGAACACAGCAGTATTAGGTTCAGAAATTGTCATCAACCACACATGCTACAATAGATGAAAGTCCTGTCTCAAATCAGTATGGATATCTTGGGGGAATCATTACAGGAAATCTGCACAGAAGTCACCTCTTAAGGAGGGATTTGAATTGAGACAGGGAGATCGTTTGACATACAAAGCACTGGGGGAACATGGGAGACTGTGAGGATGAGAACAAGGAAAGGATAAACAGTAGGTAGGCTTCTTTCACATAATAAAACCATCACACGTAGGAAAGAGACTATCTGTGACTAGATACTGTCACAAAAATGCACTGAAATTGGCCATAACTGTAAAGTCAATAAAATGCTCTTAATCTTTCAATAAACAATTTATTTTTAAAAGTTATTTTGGAGCTATTGAAGCTCCTGGGGTGGGGAAGTAAATGCATTTTGAATGTGCTGTACACTATGCAGTATCACAGGTTTAAGTTTCGTTTTATCAGATGTATGGTTTAGTCATTTGAACTCTAGATTAGAAGCCAAAATTCCTCCACTCTAACACTGACTCCTTTTCTGGCTTTCAACATATCATTTAAGGTCAGACTTGAATAGCTCTCCTCATGAAGGAGGGCAGGTATTACGCAGTACAAGAGAGGAAAGCAAAATTTGCCCTTCAAATCAGTCAGCTTCTGTGAAACTAGTGTAAAATATTCACCTATTTTTCGGAAGGGTAGTTGCCAAAATGAATTACTGTAGATGACATTTGGAAAGAATGAAGAATAGCAAATAGAACTGGACAATGGTTTTGGCTAAAAAGAGGACGTTGTATGTTTTAAGAGAAAAAAGCTTTTGGAAATGCACACAATAAAAATAGTTTTGCAAACACGTTACTCTAAATTTTCCCGTTTTCTCCATTTTATCCCTATAGAAACAACACATTGACAGATGAACAAAGAGGGTAAGAATAATGACAAAATGATAAATATTTTTAGGTGAAAAAGCCCCCTAAACAGTCATGGCATTTAAATGCAATTTTTCATTAGGCATTTGCTTTCAAACTTATTGCACAATATACTGAGCTCAAAATAGTTGCTCAGACTGGAAATCATTCAGAGAGGACAGATTTGCACATTCTTATTTGCCAGCTTGAACCCATCTCTGTCACTTTAATGTCTCAGTAACTGCTAGGAGGCTTTGGGGAGGTCATTCTAGCAATTGACTGTTTCATCAATTATTACTTACCCATTTAAACGTTGCTAGGACACTTGCATATATTTTCATTACACAACCAGCTTAAAACAAACCTCACCACCCAGCTTCGAGGTAACCTGTAGAAATCTATGCTCAAGATTCAACATCAGGCTCTTGCTTTGGAGGTGACTTCAACCTAATTTAATACAGACTACACACTTCATTA